CTCCCTGCCTAACCACCTCCAACTCTATTTGTATTGTAATTGCCTTGGTAAACAGCACCACTTTGGTCCTGAAGCAGCTCTGATAGCTTGTGTTTGGGATGCATTAAGAGTGGTGATGCAGACACTCAGTCTGTGTGGGTACCTGGTTTTTCTTATCATTTACAGGACCTTTTCTGGTATACACACCTACCTTGTCAGGGTTGGTTGTCCTTTTGGGGACCAAAGCCCAGTCCAAACACGATGTAATGCCATTTTGGGGTCAGGGGCTATTGTTAGGGTAAGGGTCTGGGTTAGGCTACAGAATTGAATGAAAGTCAGTACATGGTTATAATAAGGATAGGAAATGCAAAGCAACCACAGTAACACAAAACAAAATATTTTGTATATTTATACTTCTGTGTGCAAACTAATGGTAAATTGTTAAAACTGTTGGTTTAGTTGGCTTCAGTTCAACCATGAAGCATGTTTTAAAACATTCCTGTCACTACTTCATGTTTTAATGTTTCTTAAACTTTGGAAGCATAAACATACATCTTTACATATATTGATTAATATCTTTTAACCTTTATTTTGCAATCACTAGTTGTGGGTATTGAGTGATTAACAGYCTTCTGCAGAGCTTGAAGACCTGCTGAAGAATGACTAAAACATGCAGGATATGGGGCCTCGAGGACCAGGATTGAGCTGTGTTAGACCTTCTGTTTTCTCTGCACATGTTGAATGTTGTTTACCATGGAGCGTTGCGATTTATAACAAAATGTAAACCTTTCACACACCACTGTACCCTATTCTCTCTGGTAAACTTGCCATTCTACTCAGGTATACCTTTAGTTACAAATCTATCCTTGGCCTGCTGCCTCTGTGTCTACGTTTCAAGATGTCAGACAGTACAGTCATAGTCTACACTCCCAGAATTTTACAGAACTTGGGAAAATACTTTTTTCTTTACTGCTCATTTTCCTGGAATTCACTGCAGTAAAAACTAGGGGTGCAACAATACATGTACCCGTGTCMAACCATTCAATACAGAGCTTTAGGTTCAGTACACACTTGTATCAAACAATACAGATTTTTTAAAAATATTTTATCAACTTGTCTTCTGAAGATGCTCTGTGTTGAAGGATCAGTGGATCTGTGTTCGACTACTCCACCTAGGCTGTATTGTCGAGCGCAGGTCCACCGAGAAACTTGCTGTTTCAGCAACATTTAATTTAAAAACTGGACTTTTGCGATTAAACAAATGTTTATAATTAATTTAAATCAATTACAAGTTAAAAAGGGCATGGACATTTCTCTTTTTTTGTATCGAAAAAATATCAAACCGCGAGACTAAAGTATTGAACCGAACCAAGTCGTGAATTTTCTGTATCGTTGCACCCTTAGTAAAAACTGAAACTYTCCAGTTTGATTGCACTGGGACATTTTCAGCATATTTTAAAGAAAATGGGAACATCATCGTTTAAAGCCTGTTCTTGTTTTTAGGTTTGTTTAATTCTGCCCCCTTTAAATGTCAACATAATGMTTTATGCTTTTGTGTAACTGATGTCCTGTGTTTGTGTTACAAGTCTCTCTTGTAACTTATTTTTAAAAATGTACAACCTCAGCTGTACCTAAAAAGACTAAGGAACTAGAAATACAGATGGAAAGTCGAAATAAAGAGGAAAAATAGGAAAACTAATGAAAAATAAAAATCAACAGGTTTCTGATGCGTTTTTCTTTTTTTTCTCTGCAGTTCGACGATCAGCTCATTCTCTGGCCACAGACATGTTTGAGCAACACTTAGGAGCACACCTCCTACAGGTAACAACGACCGCGCTCCCTTTATTTTTTTACCGCAATGACTGTAATGTCTTTTTTTATTACATCAGTTTATCCCGTAGTCCTTTTCCAGCCTTACTTTCCCACAGCAAAAACAAACAGGAACATCGTACGCTTCTGTGTGTTTTTAAAAATGGCCAAAATATAAAATGTGTGTTGTGTTTCGGACAGCGGCGCTTTAGTGTAACCCTCAATTATAAATTCCCTGGCAAACTCCCAAACGCATTCATATACACAGACGCAAACATCTGATGAAGCTCAGATGCTCGGACACTGCTGTTGCCATAGAAAGCCTCCCGTTTGGGCTGACAGATGAATGGAGCCTGAGGGGCTTTTCTGAGGCAGGGGAGTTGCAGGAGTGATGAAACGCAGTACAAAGACTCAGAGGAGGCGCAAAGAAAGTAGTCCTGCAGATTGAGCTTTGGACCAGGAGGAGTTTGAGGTTGGTGGGGGGGATTCAGAAGTGAGAAGGGTCGTGTTAAAAACAAAGAAACACCACACGTGTTTCCAGTCCTCCGGCATTTTGAAGGAGGAAGGGAAAGCTTGGTGAGCAGCGCTGATAGAAATCAAATTAATGCTCCAGAAAAACTGTATGATTTCACCCGCCCCTCCCAGCCATCCTCCCTCTGTAATAGCCCGATAATTGCACTTTAGTTCTCCGACATTCAGACGGCTGGTTTCTCCCTCGCTGCGACACATGACGCCCCACACCCCGGCCCGGTCATTTGCATACTGGATGTGGCAGTTGCATAAATTATCGCAGCCACTTTAAGTGTCGGGCCAGGCCGAAGCAAGCCAGGCCGCCAAAATAGCAATTCTTTTTTTCTTCTTCTTCTTCTTCATCCCTCAGCTTCAAGTGGCCCCGGTCCTGTGTCTTCTGTGAGGCGACTCACTCCTGGACGCCTGTTATGACYATTAATATTATTCTCTGAAGCAGTCTCCTCTAATGGGCTGGCTGTATACCTTTCACTTCTCATTAGAGTCAGCGCAGCCTGTAATGACTCTGGATTTATCTGTGTCTGGTGTGTGTTTATGAGTGTGTGAGGCTGCGGGTCCAGGCTGAGGCTTTGTCTTGGACTTTATTACGGCTGATTGAAACAGCCCCGGTCTATAAGCGGTGTTTCTCTTTTGTTAAATTTGTTTACGTGTGCCCATGTGTGCATGGYCGGGTGCGCACGTCGTGCCTCCGTGCTGTGTTTGAGGAGGCAGCTGTTGTGTGTAGCGGCAGGTTTGCGTTCGTGTGCGTAAAGTGCACTCGTGAATTGAGACGAGAGGCCGAAGGGTGACGCGTTGTTTGTTCTCTAGCTCATTGCAATTTGTTCGATACTTGCTAATTGCTCTAATTTGTCTGTCTTGTTTCTGTTTACCTTTGTGTGTGTGTCTGCTTGTGTGTGTGTGTGTAGTCTCTGGATGGCTTTGTGTTTGTGGTCAGCCAGGAGGGACGCTTCCTCTACATCTCAGAGACGGTTTCTATCTACCTGGGGCTCTCACAGGTAAGATTACCTCATCTTGCTCCCTTTCACACAAACACAGGAGTATTCCCTGGTATCCAAATGCATTTGCACACGTGTCTCCTGCCCATGCTTTCATATCCTCTCTCAGGAGTGTGTGTGTGTGTGTGTGTGTGTGAGTGCGAATATCTTCAGCTGCACACCTTAAGATCATCTCTGGAGTGCAGCTCTCATAGGGGACAATGCATCTCTCCTTCTTTATTCCTTCCCACCTCCCTCTCCGCTGCTCCAGGTGCTCACCTCTGTTGATTGCCTGTGGCCTCTTGTACTGTGAATGTTAAGTCCTGCCATTTTGCCCAGATGCATAAATAATAACAGTAATTACTGGCCCAGCAATCAAAGTGTCGCCCCAGCGCGCTGGGCCTGTCTAGGGGAACAAATCGATAGGCATCTTAAAAGCCACATTGATTGTAGGGAGGGAGGGGGGGAAACACCAAGGGGGATGGGAAGATAGATAGAGACAGCCAGAGAGAGAAAGAGTGGGGAAGGAGAAGGAGAGGAGGTGTGATAAGAGGAGGATGAGGGATTGGGGCAGCATGAGAGGGGAAAACGGTGCTTTATTTAAAGAAGTAATTGAGTGTAATTTTATGTGAAAACTTAACGTGATTTAGGGATTTTGTGTCAGAAGCTGTGGCCGGAGGACTTGAATGTAGGCACTAAGGAGGCAAACGTGTTTCCAAGGTCTTCAAGCAGTCGTTCAGTTCTTTTGAAGTTGGGCTCGTGGAAAGGTTATGAACAATATTACAGTATCTTACCTGTTATAGATACTGTAGCTCTGTGAAGAGCATCAGACGAACTGAGTTTAGTTTGAGCACCGATGAGATTTAAATGGATTGCTGCTGTTCTAAAACAACTCCAGTACCAGAAATTTATGGAGCTTTTATGCTATTTGTGTAACATTTACACCACAGTTAATTTAGCATTGTGTGGTTGCACTGMAAGTGCTACAGCTAGGTGCTGCTGCTTTTAACACTCCTAAATAACCATAGAGTTTTATATAAACAGAGGTGGGTAGAGTACCTGGAAGTAGGGCTGCCACAAACGATTATTTTTATAATTGATTAATCACTGATTATTTTTTCGATTAGTTGACTAATCGGATCATARGTTAATTGAATATAAAACATASAGCTTYTCGCGCCAGAATGCAGCTGCTATTGTATACCCATCGTTAGATTTTAGCTATATGCTAACTAAAAATAATTGCTGTGGAAGGCAAGTTCTGCTCTGCAGATATTGCACAGGTTTCTCTTTCATTTTCTTAAAATGATCCCCCACACTTTTGAGCTCCGTTGCTGGGTAGCCATGATACTAGAGCCTGTCTGTATAATGTCTTGTGATGTCCACAGCCTACCCCACACTGTATAAAGTGAAATGTTAGATTTACTTAACCATGTTATGTTACCTGGTTCCACTTAACTGAGTTGAGTAAATTCAAAGCAACATACTCATGTTCTTTGGCTAAAAAACTGGTATATTGCTTTGAATTTACTCAACTCAGTTAAATGGAACCAAGTAACATAACATGGTTAAGTAAATCTAACATTTCACTTTATACAGTGTGGGGTAGGCTGTGGACATCACAAGACATTATACAGACAGGC